GTGTCTCTTTCAGATCTGGTTTCCTTGGTGTGTATGCCCAGAAGTGGGATTGCTGGGTCATATGGCAGTTCTATTTCCAGTTTTTTAAGTAATCTCCACACTGTTTTCCATAGTGGCTGTACTAGTTTGCATTCCCACCAACAGTGTAAGAGGGTTCCCTTTTCTCCACACCCTCTCCAGGATTCATTGCTTGTAGACTTTTGGATAACAACCATTCTGACTGGCGTGTAGTGGTACCTCATTGTTGAATGTGTACATCATCTTAGCTCACCATCTTGGTAAAATGAGAGATTGCCGTATAAATGCAGTTTCGGCATTCAACACCCAAAAGCAAAACAACACCCAGTGAAACAAAAATCAAAACCCCCAAATCAGATCCCTAAATGAACTAATCATGAACTGGGCAGCATACAAAGTCTGATATTAATTCATGTAATTCTTACAAGGACCCCATAACTCTTTGCAAATGGAGAAGCTGAGTAACTGGCCTAGCAGCTTGTCAGGGGGCAGAGCCAGGTAAGGAACTGGGCTTTCCCTGACATTCCCTCCTCTTCAGTGGCCTGAACATCAGTAACACTAAGTATGAAGTCACCCCTTCTCAAGGTGACTAATGTGAAGATCAGCACTCTTTCCCATCTCATATTCTTAATATATTTACACAATCATCTCACCTGGTAATTCAGGAATGGACTCATGATTGTGTCTGTCTATGAGAATTTGCAATTTTGGTTGTGTTTAAATTAAAAATCTGAAAATCAGTTGCCTAAGGGCTTTTAACAATTGCAAAGCGGAACATGAATACACTTCCTTCTGAGCACAGTAAAGCGCCAGGGAATTAACAGGGACCCATTGTTTTCCATGTTGACTTTGGAGAAATGTACCTTACTCTAGCCTGTTAAAACATGTTTTAAGGATGTATTGTAATGCATGTGGTTTCCGGAAGGCCACATACAGGTGAATTTTTATATCCCTTTTTGGTTCATTTACTCATCCTCTGAAATCAAGGCCTCAGCAAAGATGGAGTCAGTGGTCATTATATTTTGTGATTAGGGGGTGTTCGTGGCTGACATTTTAGTCTCGGGTAGTGGCTGAGGACTCCAGGGCACTTCAGCTTGTTCACAATCTAATTTAGCAGCGTCTTAATTTGAGTTGAAAAATCACCTTAGGAATTTGTCCTTGGTGCTTGTATGAGCATTTTAGAACACTGCATGTTACCTGATGCTACCTGAGAGGAGGGACTTGGGCAATCATGGCTTGTCTGAGCCCTGATCTCTTGGGGGAGGTTGAGAAGTGGTAGAAGTTCTATTCTACCAGCAGCATAGACCCATATCACTATGAAATTGTGTTAATGACTTTGCCAATAATTTTCTCAATGCACAGTAGGCGTATTTGCTGGAGGAGCTGATCTTGCAATCCCCATATATCTGGAGCAGTCAATTATGAATCTGTTAATTAGCTTGATGTTTGGTCTCCCAGCTAAGTGAGCTCTTGTGAACTCTGCCAGCACCTGAATTTACAAATGATCTGACAAGAGAAGAGGGAAAGACTGGGCCAGAGAGGCCATTATAGGTTAACTTCGTATAATCAGAAGTTTACTCAGCACAAGTGCCAGCCTTTTTTTGTTGCCACAAGATAGCCATTCTTCTTTCATAGCTGCTAACCTGTCCCTGGATGAACTGGTTTTGCCTCCCGTTTTATTTTTTGTTGTTGTTGTTCTCAGTATCAACACTTAAAAAAACCTATGGCCACATGGTCCAAGGCCTCCCCAGGGGCACTTCTCTTCCCTACTTTGAAAATCAGCCCAAATTTCTAACCTTGGAGAGTCTGTTAATTCGTCCTCTTTCTGGGAAGAAAACTGGAGGGACTTTTCCAAGGTTCAGCACTTTCCATCTGCCTTTCTCTTTACAACTTTTGAGATGTTCACCAATAAATGCTAGTATTTACTGAACATGTTTTCTGTGCCAGACACTTTTGAAAGCACTTTAATAACAACGCTTATATTACTCAAAGAGTCGGACACGACTGAGCGACTTCACTTTCCTATTACTGAGCATCTACTGTGTGCCAGGCCCTGCTCTAGGCACCGAGGTTGTGGAACAAACAAAACAAAGGTCATCCCTCCGGGAGCTTGCATTTTATTGGGCAGACAGCTAGACAGTACAACTCATCAGTAAACAAACACATGCTATACCAGACAGTTACACACAGGCCCTGAAGGAGAAACAGGGGCAAGTGACAGTTTGTATAGGGCCGGCTAGGGAAAGCTTCTTGGGTGGGGAGAGAGCAGAGTCTCTGAGGAAATGATGGACCAAGCCGGCTGCTTCAGGTCTCCACCCTGAGTCTTGCTGACTCAGAGTCAGTGGGATTGGGAGTCCTTCCCTTCTCTCTCTGCTCACCGCATCACTTACTTTCTAGATCCTAGGCTCTAGGCTTGAGCCCCAGCCCTTCCCTTCTCTTTCCTTATTCAGTCACCAAAGCTCTTTGCTTGGGAGTCTTTGTGGCATCCTTTCCACTGCCTCTGTGGAAAGGAAGCCACTGCCTGGCTGAGAGCCTTGCTGGCCCTCGAATGACTGTGGATGTAGAAGTTGCTTAGTCACATCCAGCTCTCTGCGACCCCATGGACTGTAGCCCGCCAGGCTCCTCTGTCCATGGGATTCTCCAGGCAAGAATACCGGAGTGGGTTGCCATTCCCTTCTCCAGGGGATCTTCCCGACCAGGGATCGAACCTGGGTCTCCTGCACTGCGGGCGGATTCTTTACCCTCTGAGCCACCAGGGAAGGCCTGAATGACTGTAGCTGATTCTTAAGCATTCTCTCTGGGCTTCTAGGCTCTCTTCTCAGCAATCTGTTCTCACCCAAATGATGGAATATACATGCCATTGTTTGTTTGTTCCATAGGGCACTGGATCCCCACAGGAAATTATGATGATTATATTATTATCCCCATTTTACAGATGAGGAAACAGACTGCCTCAGAGTCACTCACTGATCCAGTAAACACTTCAATCAGAATTGACCTCAGGTCAGCTGAATCCCCAGGAGTCTTCTAGCCAGGAGCCCAGGCTGCCTCTCCCCTACCCTTGTGTGTGATCAAGACCCTGCTTTGATCTCTCATTTGCTTAGAATCTTTCGTGCTTCCCATTACCTGTGGGGGAAAGTTCAAATGTTTTGAAATAGTTTTCAAAGTCTTTCACCACTGGGCTGGTCTTCACCTGTCTCCCAGTTTTATCTTTGAGTTCTCTCCTGTGACAACTTCAGCCAGACACACACCAGCGTGTCCCATTGGCAAGCACAGCTACCCCTGTATTCACAAGTGGGCACTTTTTCAATTTCTCTGTGTTAACTCACCCTCCCCGTACCGGCTCAGACTGCCTCCTCTCTTACCTTCATCTGTGTCCGTCTTTATCTCCAGCCTCAGAAGGAGTGTCCTGTTTTAAGCCAATCCTAACATCCGAGGATGCTCTGGGCCATCCTTTGATCACTGGTAGTCTTAGTTCTGATCACCAACTGGCCATTCCCATTGATTTCCTTAGTACTTTTCCATGTGTGATCCTAAAATATTGAGAAGACTTACATGTCCAAAGTGAGCATAACTTTCTAAGGAAAGGTCTTGGGAGATACATACTTATTTCACTCAACCTTTTCAGAGCTCAGAACACATTTGGAGGAGCCCCGTTTGCTAAATTGCCTTCTAGCTACCCAAGAAAGCCAATTTTCTTCTTTTAATAGCTACAACTCATTTTTGGACCCATGATGACATGAATCCAGTTCACTCAACCCATCTGAATCATCAGTAGGGACTCCATTTAAAATCTGACAATTTCCCTAAATCAAATCCTTCCTCCCGAGATTAAAAGTAGATATTCACTAGAATGTGCCGCAGGAAATTCTGAAATAAGGGTTCTGAAAATGTTGGTTTAAAATGCCAGGGGGCTGAAACTAGGAGAAAGGCAGGACTGGAATCTTCCTCTTGCTCCTTGATTCACTGTCCCTCACTTACCTGCCTCTTAGAGGAAGGCAGAAAAGGAAACATGGAAGGAAAAGGGGAGCTAATCAAGAGATAGTTTGAATCATGGGGGCCAGTTAAAACTCACAAAAAAGAAAATGAACAAAATTTTCTGCTGAATCCAAGCCTTCCTCAGGGGAGGAAGGAGCAGGAAATTTAATTTTGGAAATGGAATGAGGACCTGTCCATTGCAATTGGAAAGATGAATGATAGAGACAGGAGGAATGAGATGGAAAGGCCTAGGTACCCTGGGACAGAGGAGTGCCATTTATTTGCAAATAATTCTCTACAGATAAAGGAGAGGATTGCCCAGAGGAGGCTAAGGAATAGAGGGCTTGGTCCAGTTTGGATCAAGAGCTTGGTCTTCTTTACTCTCCTGGTTATATGCAACGCCACTATTCCACACTTTTCTCTACAATGAACTCGCTGAGAGCTGCCACTGAATTTTATTCTACTGTGTACATGCAGTGCTTAGCACTCGTCTGGGCGCTAGTAAGGACTCAGTGCATATTTGCTGAGTGAATAAATACAAAATACTTGGTTACTGGAAGAGGTTGAGAAGCTACTTCTGCGTTATCATTTCTGATAGTGGCCACCAGGTGGTGCCTTCCTAAGTAAAAGTGACTCAGTTACATCCGACTCCTGCGACCCCTGGCAGACTCCGCGAGCCTGTAGTCTGCCAGGCTCCTCTGTCCATGGAATTCTCCAGGCAAGAATACTGGAATGGGTCACCATTCCCTTCTGTAGGTCATCTTCCCAACTCAGGGATTGAACCCAGGTCTCCTGCATTGCAGGTGGATTCTGAGAGCAGGAGCAAATGAGACCTTGAATCTCGGCTGGAAGTTTTGGGAGAAGTCTTAGGTCTCACCTGGAACTTGCGTGGAGTGTGTGCCCTCTGGCAATTGATCACACTCTTACTCCTCTTGTCGGATGCGCTTGCAGAGTTCAGACAAATGGCTAGCCCTGACTTTCTTCACTTGGAGTCCGTGTCACAGGAGGCCCACAAGAATCCTTCAGGAAGATTTCATTTACGGCTAACCTTTGGGACCTGAGACCCATCCCACGCCAGGCCACTGTGTCCCGTGGGTTCCTGTTGTTTCCCGTTACCCTCCCTGCTCACCCAGAGAACATGTACTCCCATGGATGCTGTATTTTCTCTGACCTCTTCCCCCAAAGTCATTTATGGCCTTGCACCCAGCTCTGACAGCCTGTGGGCTGAAGCACTGGGCACCCCTGTCTACTTTAAGCTGCTGCCTGGTGGATCTCTGCCCTGCGCCTGCGGTTTATATCTTTACAGTCTCAGAACAGTTCCACAAGACAGGCCGAAAGCAGAGTGACAGCTCCGCAGGCTCACAGAGTGACATGGCCAGTCCTTGGGAGAGGAGAGTCAAGCCCAGGGCCAGCTGGCCGTGGGTCTTAGTGAATTTCACATGCAGTGAATGCAGTGCATGTGTCGGTATCTGCGGGTATCAGTTCATGCAGATCCAGGGCCAATAATGACATAGCAACATCCACATCCTCGAGAAGCTAAGTCTTCTGGGAGGATAAGTGTATCAGCAGACACCCTCAGCTCTGGTCAGTGCCTCTTAAGCAGTGCCAAAGGCATAAATACTCAGCCTCCTTTGTGCCTATAAACCTAAATAAAGGTCCTAGAGGTTTTGATTGGCAAGAGCTGGGGATGGAGATGCTGAGCGAGATTGTATGTGTGCTTGTGTGTGTGTGAGAGAGAGAATGTTAAATTTTATGAAGATCTAGCAAATGATACTTTTTGCCTGGACTTGATTTTGGCAGAGCCACAGAGTACATGGACTTTATCTTGAACCTGCAGCCCCACAGAGCCCTCTGCCTGCAAAGAGCCAATTCAGTGTCTGAGCACCCCTTTCAAAACTTAATCCGTCCTGTGTCTCACTATCTCTGGTTTCTGCTACATAAATTGTGATAAATTGTACAAGGTTAATCAAATAAATAGATTAACATATGTGTGCATGCACTCTCTCAGTCGTGTCCAACTCTTTGTGACCCCATGGACTGCAGCCCGCCAGGCTCCTCTGTCATGGATTTCCCAGACAAGAATACTGGAGTGCGTGGCCATTTCCTCCTCCAGGAGATCTTCCTGACCCAGGGATCGAACCTGGGTCTCCTTCATTGGCAGGTGGCTTCTTTCCCCGCTGAGCTACAGGGGAAACCTGGATCAGCATAAAGCACTTGCTAAGTAGTGGTTCTTTTGGGAGAAAATGATTTAGCTTAAACTATCTCCAGGCAGAGGGGATGCCACTGTTGGGAATATTAGGAGTGATGGGGCTGTGAGATGATGGGGGAGCGGGGGGAGGAGGAGAAAGGAAGAGAGAAACCCTAGGGTCATGATGGAGGCCGAGGTGCAGGGCAGACCGGAGGAAAGGGGGTGGGAGGACTTGGGGTCAGGGGTGCCTCTTGGCGTCTTTTATTTCAGACCTTCCTCTGTGCCTTTTATTGGGCCAAGCATGATCTTTCTGGGCTTTTATGGGCTTCAGTATCTAGTTTGAGCCTCTCAGGAACTCTCCACATAGTAATATATGTGATTTATGCCTTTGAACACTTAATGTGCTAGAAACTGGGCATTATTTCCACAATCCTCAGAGAAGCCTCGAGGGAGGCAATGTTATTCTATCCCCCTACCCTTCTTTCAGTGGATGAAATGGAGATTCAGGAAGTCCATGAGCTAGTAAATGTTCAAAGCCAGGACTGTGTGACTAGAAAGCCATGCACTTAACAGGCTATATTGTGCTGTGAGAAAAATGTGGCAGATCTTAAAATAGTGCTCATTATGAGTAATCTTGCAACCCCCCCACCCCAGTTGATTTATTCATTCAACATGAATGTGCCAGGTGTAGTCGGTATGGGGGGTATAAGATGAATGAAACAGGCAAACCTAATTGCATGGAGTTTACTCTCAGAGAATAATAAAGTAAAAGTTCCCACAAACTTAGGAAAAGTCTGATTGTTCTGTGACCATGGTAACAAGTAGCCAGCAGAACCAATTTTCAGTCTGTTCATTTGGTCAACAGCAACACTTGTTTTGTGAAAGCTGGTTTTAAAACCAACTGGTGTCAATCCTACACTTCTGAAAGTCAGCTAATCAGAGGGAGATGCTGTCCAGATAACTTGCCAATCAGCATGAACCTTACCTGAATACCCACCTGATGTCAACCCAGCCTCTGAGCATCTGTGAATCACACAGTTCCATGCTTTCCAAAGCCCTCTGTGACATCAGTCACCTGTTCTTTTGGCCAGCACAGCTCTTCTTGTTATCTGAGCAATAAATTCAGCCTTATGGTTTGATTTCTCATTGTCCTGTGACAAAAGAGACAGGTACACACGTGTCAGGTCTGACTGCAGAGAAAACAGCACTGTAAGAGGTTGGAGCATGACAGGACGGGAGGCTCTGGAGAGCCTATTTGGTGCTAGAAGATTTGCAGAGAGTCCAGAATGAATTAAGAAGGGTCCGTGTGTACGTGTCTGGTCACTCAGTTGTGTCCAGCTCTTTGCAACCCCATGGACTGCAGCTCACCAAGCTCCTCTATCCATGGGGATTTTCCAGGCAAGAATACTGGAGTGGGTTGCCATACTCTCCTCCAGGGGATCTTTCCAACCCAGGGATTGAACCCAGGTCTCCCACATTGCAGGTGGGTTCTTCACCAGCTAAGCTACCAACGAAGCCCCAAGAAGGGCTCCAGCATGTGCAGATCTAGACCTAGAGCTTTTAGAAAGAGGCAAGGGCCCCAGAGGAAGAGAGGATGCCTTGGGCATTGGGAAGAAGGAGAAGAGGCTGGAGTGGAAATGGGTGGAGGCTGATTCTCCAGGGCTTCAGGAGTTGGACTTTGCTCCAGATATAATGGGAAGGCAGAAAACTACCCAAGAATAGACAGTGTCCTCTGCTTTTAAAAGAATGTGCACACACTTGCACATGTGTCACACACACACCCCTTCGGAATTGGAAGATCCTTTAAGTCAGAGTGGTTTTGCCCTAGCATGTGTGAGTAAACTACCCAAGAATAGACAGTGTCCTCTGCTTTTAAAAGAATGTGCACACACTTGCACATGTGTCACACACACACCCCTTCGGAATTGGAAGATCCTCTAAGTCAGAGTGGTTTTGCCCTAGCATGTGTGAGTCAGGAGGTCCTCTCCTGTGTGCTGCTGCCTCTGCCCACATTCTCCCCTTCAGGTCCCAGAAATGGGGTGATTTCTCTACCACTGATGGGGTTCAGTGATAAGTCATCAGTGATGTAAAAAGTATGGGTCTGGGAGATGGTTGACTTCATTGTAAAGCTGCCATGAGTGTCAGGTAAGTAGCCTGAGGCCACAGTAAGGCCCCAGACTACTGAAGCCTGCTCAAGTCCCAGTTGAGGTTGGTCTGCTGCTAAATACATTAGCCAGTTGTTTTTCTTAGTCATTACATGAAAAGCTTGATGTCTGTTTCTCAATCAGGATTTTTCTGGATGGCCATCATTATAGAGGGAATAGGGGCCCGCAGAAGACTGAAATAGGCTTTGTTTTATTCCTCTTACATAGTTGTTCTTCAGAAGATTGTCACCTGACCATCCATTGCGGGGGGCGTGTCTTTGTTAATTCCTGAAGCCTGATGTCAGTTGCTGCAGGATGTGAATGTCACGTGCTCATTGTTTTTGTCTGGGGACTGCCGCTGCACTGGAGGACTGCTTACGGGTGCTGCGACTCCTGCTGAGGTTGCCACTGGGTTTATGCTCCCGTGTGATGACAAGGCCAACCTGGCAGGTCTGCGGGGATGGGTAGGCTACTCTTTCATTCCTGGCTGCTTTGCTCTTCCAAAAGCATTAACTCCAGTTCAGCTGGAAATCATTCTCCTTTTCATCAGCCCCAACTTCTGAACCCATTCCTCCAGCTACACCTCCAGACTGCTTTGGACACTTTGAGGGGGGGTGTTTTGCTTATTCTTACTTGAATTGCAGCCTGGTTTGTAGACACTGTCTCCCTAGATTGGCAGTTGTTTACAGAATTCCCAAGTACCAGTTACATCATTGAGTGGCAAGAAATAAAAAGACAAGCAAGGAACTAGTAGAGCTGAGAGCATAGCCCTTTATCATTCTTCCTTCTTAGCTAATACATCTAATAGTTATCCTGGAAAGGAGAATTTATTTAAACATATTAAATACTGTGGAGAGTGACTTTTATGTTTGTCATAGTAATAACACTGCTAATGCTATACTTCAAGGTACAGTGAATAAACCTTTAAAGAAATATCCTCATAATATGGTTTCAGAGGACATGCATCCTTCTGGAACACATTGCTAAAGTAGAGTTGTTTTTAAAATTATCATGGAGAGACCCTGTTCTAAGGCTGAATCTGTGCTCCACTATAATTTGTCTGTAATGGGTATAAAGTCTTGTGTGATTCAACATGGATAGCTGAAATATCCTTCTGGAACACATTGCTAAAGTAGAATTGTTTTTAAAATTATCATGGAGAGACCCTGTTCTAAGGCTGAATCTGTGCTCCACTATAATTTGTCTGTAATGGGTATAAAGTCTTGTGTGATTCAACATGGATAGCTGAAAAAGCTAGAGAAGATTTAATGCTTGTTTGTTTTTGTGGTACTGGTGAATTTCTCAGAAGATGAGTTGAAAAATCGACATGGGTTGACTTCTCATTGTTGCTTCTGGTTGTGTAATGAGTCCAAAAGCATGTACTCTTCTTGAAGTCTTTCTGCCAGTTCTTTATTTACAGATCATGTTATAATTGAAAAGAATCTGCCTGCAATGCAGGAGCCCCAGGTTTGATCCCTGGGTTGGGAAGATCCCCTGGAGAAGGAAATGGCAACCCACTCCAGTATTCTTCCCTGAAAAATCCCATGGACGGAGGAGACTGGCGGGCTACAGTCCGTGGGGGTTGCAAAGAGTCGGATATGACTAAGCGACTAACACCACTTTCCACTAACACTTAAATAGTTGGAGTCTTAAAAAGTAGAATTCCTGTGACACATGAGCCAGTTTCTAGCATCATACTGATGCTTAAAAAAAAAAAAAGTTATTTGTTTATTTATCAGGTCCCAGTGGGGCACTTGGGATCTTCCTTGCATCATGGGGGATCCTCCTTTGGGGGGCACGGACTCAGGTTGTGGTACAGGCTTAGTTGTTCCATGGCCTGTGGGATCTTAGTTCCCTGACCAGGAGCCGAACCTGCGTCCCTTGCACTGCAAGGAGGATTCTGAACCGCTGGACCACCAGGAAAGTCCCATACTGACTGTTGATGTTGGGATCCCATTGATAAGTTGGACAGAATTATATTTTAAGAATCTCATATCACTTGGGTGGATAATGTGTTGGATGTGGACATTGCTTACAAGCCGCAATGCACTTGTAAACATTTTTAAGTGTTATATGTAGCAGGAACCAATTTTTCGTGCTCCCTCTTGCAGAGATTACTAGCTGGGTCTCTATCATGGAGGCCTGCAGTATAGTTTCAAACAAAGCAGCACCTGCATAATCCTTGCCACCCAAAGCTGGCAGGTCTTGCCAAAAGTTGTATAATAGTGGCCTTGCTGATAACGGATACACATTCATTTGGTCATATGGCCATGTGAAAAAACTGAAGCCATCATTGTGTTTGATGTCTCAGACTCTTGTGTCTTCTGAATGTGTTTCAACCCCTGGGTTTCTTGGTTGCAGAGGTCACCTGATCAGCTCACCTGCTGCTCGTTGATGGGAACTACTGTGAAAGTTCCCAGGCTTGTTCTGCTGGGTTTCTAAAGTTTCATCCTTACAGAGATCCCTACCTACTGCACAGTTTATGTACAGCATCCATAGGTGCTGTCTTTTGCTGCAGGCTCAGGAACTGAACCGAACTGCAGATGTGGTGGGGAATGGTGTCCTAATTCCTGCTAACTAGTGGTATGATGTGATAAATAAGTTCCAATGCAGTGCCTCATGGAAGGTCCCCCAAACTCATGTGATGAAAAACATTTCTCTCTTTTTCTCTGGATAGAGAGAGGCTCTTTGGATAAGAAAAGACCGATGTTCCTGGGACTGCAGATGGGAAGAAGAAAGTCAAGTCAAGTGTTTTATTTTTTCTGTGATAAGAACCACCTCATTACAAAACTGAAAGTGAATGGTGGATATCAAATTTAAGCTAATGCTTGTGTTGAAGTCGAAGTAGTGATGGAATTTTTTTTTTCCTTGAAGAGGCCAGCAGTGTGATCACAATGATAAAGCTACAGGCAAAATATCTAGCCTTTTCTTGTCCTTTAATTTCTTCATTTTGCCTGTTGTTCCTTCAGTCATTCTAGAGGGTTAAAAATGAGGAGTTTCAAGGTCTTTGCATTATCTGAGAAGAAATATAAATATCAATCAATATTAGTCTTTGATAAGTTAGTGACACATGTGTATTATTAGAATAACCCCTAAAGAGTAGTAAGAGTGTATAATTTCTGTGCCAATAGGTTGAAAACAAAATAATCAAAAATAAGCCAATGGGAGTGAAGGAGAAAGAGAATTTGAACATTGGGACGAAAGCACTGCACACAATGGTAGATAAAATGCTAATATTTCAGTAATTATATTACATGTAGTGGACTGAATGTTGCAATTAAAAGACAATAACCATCAGAGTTTAAATTTAAGTTTTAAAAATTAAAAAGATGGAAAAATATATCATGCAAATACTAACCCAAGGAGAGCAGGTATCAGTGTTGGTCATATCATGGACACAGTTGATGATGGTATGGATTTGTGCTCTATGTTGTATGAGTTTCTTGTAGGTAGAAAAAAGGATGAATTTTATGATTAATAGAAAACATTTCATACTTGTAGCTGATTTCTTTTGTTTTTGATAAAGATGTAGGTTTTGTTCTGCATCTGAAGAGGTCTTTCAACCATTATGTCAACTATGTACCATTATGTAAGATAAGTGGAACATAATATTTGTGTAAGCCATTGTAATTTAATTGGAAACATCTTGTGTTGACAATATCATTATCCTAATGGTGAAGGAGCAGGGGGAATGCAGGAGAAATCAGATTCCTTGGGGAATAGGCGCTACAGCCAAAGTAGAGTCATTTTTTTCCTGACCAGCGACTTAACTTATTTTTCAGTAAAGCAAGTCAATGGTGTTCTCTAAATAAAGTAAGATTTAATTGGGTTTCTTTATAGCTGATGTGGATTTGGGTGCCTGAATAGGACTTGGGTATTGAGCTAGGAATCTTGAAAGGATAAGAAGTAAGACCTTTAGCAACAAAAAATATCTAGAGTTTGGGATTA